CTAACTTTATCTTTTCATATTTATCCTTATTAAACATCCTACAATAAATATAAAGTCATTATCAATACAGGCACTTAAAAAAAAAAGACAACAATTACACCTTAAAATACTAAAAATATATTATATTTTTAAATATTTGATTTCTTAAAAAATACTTTATATTTCTGAACAGATGGAGTATACAGCTTTTTTTTTTAGGAAACGTATCTATGCTATTGGTTTACGGCTTATGTGGATGAACAAAAAAAATCAAAAATAGTTTATCATATGTGTTATTTTAGAAAATAAATCAATAAAAATTTAGTTCGATCAATTTAACTAGTACATCATATGAGTTCCTCATAGTTACAATAATCTTAATTAAACTAATCATAGCTATAGACAATTGTGAATAATCATCGGGAAATATTGACCTAACCAATCATCGTTAAGAATCATAATTTGTTTTGTTAAGTTAAACTTCAAGGTTTGAAACCAAAATACAGATAATAAGTTAACCCTCCGTTTGGATGGAAAAAATTTACTATTTTTGAAAATTATCATCCTAGTATGCATTTTTTTTTTCTTTTTAACTTTTTCCTCCATCCAAACCAAACCTGCATGTTAGAAATGATTAAAATGAGCTGGTGTTTAGAGAGAGAGAGAGAGAGAGAGAGAGAGAGAGAGAGAGAGAGAGAGAGAGAGAGAGAGTGAGTTATGTGTCTCATGATAGAAAATGGCTAACTAATTATTCATGATTATGTAGTTTACTATGAGCATCATCAAGATATTCCATAGGGCTGGATAAGTATCATTATAGGGTCATAATTAATTAATTAGTGAAATCCCAAGACATTACTCATCAGAAAAAGGAGATGATGATAATATATTCAAATTTGTTCGGTATATGGCGAAATTAATTAACACGTTTTTCTCTTTGGCGGATATTGTTTCTTACACTTCAATTAACTTCAACGATTTGCTGGCTACGTACTGAACGGATTAACTTCTTACTTTGAAAATTCAACTTGATTATTTTATATTATATCACAGCCACAGCCCCTTGGAGACTATTATCCTTATTTGAATAATCATTAAATGAAGATAATTAAAAAATTATTAATCAATAACTCAACTACCGTCTCTTTATTTGTATAAAATCTAAAATCTATAACTATTATATTCATAAGTTATTAATAGCGTGATTCACTTCATATTTTGTATAAAGGAAAATGTTATAATCCTAGTTGAAGCAATTTCTTCAAACCATGAAAATGTGTTTCATAACTAAATAAGTATATATCTGCTGCAAATGCATTTAACAGTTTATTAAAGCGCTCTTACAACAAGCCATTAATAAAAAAAATAAAACTAATGAGCCTTAAGCTTAGTTTAATTTGCATATTAAAAAAAAAAAAAAAAAAGCCAACAAGTCGTCCTACTCCCAACTGGTGGCTCGATAGCAATGTTGTAAAACCCCTTCACATCTTTTGGGCATATTTTGCTAATCAATTCGAAAGAAGCATTTGCTTCTCTGATTTGATAGCTTAGAAATAATATATTGCAATACCTAAATGTAAGTGAATTCACTATGCAGGAAAAACTTTTCATGCTGGGTTCCAGTTTTTATGTCAAATTTTAAAGCAATGCAGAAAGAAGCAAGCAAATTTTATTGATTCTTTTTTTGTAATTTTTCAAATCTTTTTTTATTAATTTCTGATTAACTAACAATTAAAGTTAATTTTTGTTAACAGTATATATTAGATTACACCATTTTATAGAGTTAAAAGAGAATATAATATTACATAAAAAATGAGTTTAAGATCTAAGATGCTCCTGAACTTATAATATAAGGATCAATTTACTCTTTTACTTATAAAAAAAATTGTATGCTTTAGTTAGAGATTTTTTTAAACAAGGTATTTTTAAAGCTAAATAATTAATCTATCTAATTTTTTTGCTCTAAATTCCTTGTAGTTCAAGATGGGCTCGGAGATTTAGATTTTCAAAAATTATAATTAGAAGTTTAATTATTTGAAAACAATAGGCGAAAAAGCTGTCGTCGTTGATTTTAATTAGTTTCAACAAGTGCCCCTGCTACCTTAATTACTATTCATGGTTTCAACCATACTTCTCCATTTACTTTTCTACTTTTCTCCCATTCAATCATCAAAGTAAAACTAGTATACGCTGAAGCAACGGAGATCCCAAATTTTGACCTTATCAGTTATAACTATTACTTCTCAGCTATAAAACTCTTATAATTTAATCAGACAATTAAGAAAAGTGACTAAAATTAAATAATATTCATTTTTGGAAAGCATAATTGAGGAATAGGTTTTGCTGATAGCAAAAAATATCTCCTTCTCCAGACACAGAGAGCAGATAATAGACATTTCCCAACTAGATTATTACATACATAATGGCTAGGATTTGATCGAATAATACTTAATTAATATTCTTGATTCTATTAAAGAATATCATAACATTTCAAAATGATCCATTATTACAGTTTTTAGTGGTCCACAATTATGAAGGAAATATTAAAAAAATCAATAAGTGATTCAACAATAATTTTGATTCAAGGATGAAAAAGCTTTAAAAAGAGTAGGGGGGCTTGCAGTTACTCTTGAATCCTCCCATACAATGATGCATGTTTTTGTTGACTTGATTTTAGCCTTTTGAGCAAGTTAAGCGAATACCACTGCCAGTGTGTTTTTTTTCTTTGTGATGATGACATTAATTGACTAAAAAATTAAATTAAACTTAAATAAGGACCAAAATAATTAATATAAAAGTTTTCTGCTCTTATTCCATTATTTCCAACCCTCAAAACAAAAATTTTCGAGTGAGATTTGCTAATTTATAAATGATAAACTTGTCAAATATATCATTATTTGGAAATCCTGTTCTTTCATTAATTAATAAATCTAACATGAAAATTCGTGTTTTAAGAATTGCAAATAAGAAGATGATGAGAGTGACAGAGCATTAAAAGTGGTGATAAGTTTGGTAAGTTTTTCCTTTACAAATTTTCGAATTTCACTTATAAATTCTTGTTTTAATAGTTGAAAATTATTAAATGATCAAATTTTTAAACCAATTTATTAAAAGATATTTGGTTCTTATTTTTTATTTTCAAATCCTTTGGTCTTTTAATGTCATTCCCCTTGTTTTTTTTTCATTTTTTTATTTCTTAGTTTTTTTTTTTACAAATATGAATCTCCTTAGACCAATTTACTAAAAAATATTTGGTCCTTATTTGAGATTTTCAAAACTTTTGGTCTTTTAATGTCATTCCTCTTGCTTAATTATTTATTAGTTTTTCCCAGTGTGAGTCTCGTTATCTCTATAAAAAGGACAGGTTGACTAGTTGGTAATAAAAAAACAAATTCAAATGTTAATCGATCCCTACAGGAACACCATAACAAAGATTGTCAATAATATGCTTTTATTGAGATAAATAAAGTATCATTTAAAATCATAATCCTTGTTGGAAGTTATACATAAATTAACATTTATTGGTCTGATTAGTAAAGCATCAATAAGTTGCAAAACTTGTTCTGTGTACTGTGCTGCTCGCCGTTTTCATTTACAAAAACATTCAAATTCTTAAATTAATAGTCAACATCTGCCTAACACAACGACGAGGCAAGCTAGCTGGCCTTAGGATCGGTCAAGTCCACATATCCACATTTTCTTCTGTTTCTAGATGAAGTTAATTTGCTATGGATTAATTCGGTATCATATATATGAATAAAATATCAGTATATAGAAAGAGAAAGATTTAATTTATATTTATAAATTATATTAAAGTTACCAAATTGCACATTAAGTTCATTTAAGAGAGGTTTATTTATTAAAACAGAAATTAATTTATATTTTAATTTTTTTCATATTTTAAAAATAAAATATTTGCATAATTTAAGCAAACCTAAGAATATATATATGTATATATTGATACATCATTTATTCTTATCTTGGTATATATTTTAAACTAATTAATGGCTCCTGCCCCCTGTTTTACCACATTTTCCCATTTACTATGAAAATATGAATATGGTCCATTTGCTTGAAATATTCAGCACTAAGTCTTCTGACCTTGGTACTAGCTAGCTTGAACACATAAACTGTATTGACAATAATAATTCTTTAGTGAAATTATAATGACCTATTTTTGAATTGTCTTTATCTAATTGATGAAATAAGTCTCTTGCCATGACAGAGAGAACCTAAAAAGATTAATTAATTCAATGTAGATCTCAAGTGCCAACTTTTAAAAATTTGCAAGTCGACTCTCAATTTTATAACTTCATTGTGATGAATTTGCAACTTATGTTTTAAATTTTGATAGGAAAAATAAATTTATTTATTCTTCAACCATATTAAAATTTAAAAAACAAGTTGCAAATTTATCACGATGAAATTGTAAAATTTAAAGCTGAATTTGTAAATTTTTGGAGTTTGCACTTGGGGATCTAAGTTGAAAAATGAGCTCTCTGTCATTCTCCCCTTGTACATATATATTGTGGGTCTATTCAATTTCCCAAAGTACTGTAAGTTGCTTATCAAACTTTAATTTGAACTGGTAAAAGTTGATGTTCCTTCATTTTGAAACCAGGAAATCATGAGATTCGATTGTTAAGACTGCATATGTATGATTAAATTTGGTGGTAAACTCATAATATATGTAGCAGAGCCATAAGCCCCAGAAATTAAGTCAAAGTTTACGGCAATAGTAGTTATTTATAATAAAACTAAAAAGTACATATCTTACCAGCTAATTGCCAATACATTCACCTTTCGCCATGTAATTTTCTTCGTTACTTACCAACTTTTAAACGATTTGATCGGAAGAGATGGTATGTGTTCAGACTACGTAATGCGTCGAAAATTCAAAGGGCCATATTATTCTAAAAGCCCATTGGATTATTATATTGAACACGCTATCTCATTAGTCTGGGACTCTCTCTCTCTCTCTCTATATATATATATATAGACAACACGAGAGAGGGACAGCTTCATTAAAATACAAAACTTCTTTCCCTTGAAGAAAAGCTTCATATTACCATCTCTTCTTCTCAGCATGAGAAGTTCATCATTGTTATATCTGGCTTGGGCTCTTTCTCTGCTAGTGTCCTCTTCTTTGGTTTCTGCTGCTGTAGTGGAACACACGTGGGAAGTAAGTTCTTAATACTCGCTCATTTTCTTCAACGATCAAAGCATTTGATTCAGATTCACTGTAATCAGAATATCTATTCATACTTAATTTCTTGTATCCTTCATTCAGCTGCATCTAAATATATCTTTTACTTCATTATTAACTACGATCGTATATTAACCTGGCCTGTAGGATTGCCGTCCCAACACCGTGCTCTTTATTATATCGTTTACTTCATTATTCCGTTAAGCATGATGGTTCAATTAAATGAGTTTGGGTGTGTGCAGATAGCAAACGTGACAGTGCGGAGACTGTGCAATGAAAGGGTGATAGCTGCTGTCAATGGAAGTTTGCCAGGACCCACAATTAACGTTCGAGAGGGCGACACTCTTGTCGTCCACGCCATCAATAAGTCTCCCTACAATCTCACTCTTCATTGGTATATACATACACATATATATTATCAAACTTTTTATATCCTAAATATATATCTCCATGTCTCCCGGTCAATTTGATCAATCTAATCCTTAACTAAGAAGTTATGTTAGAGAAATATAGACTCCCTATAGTTTGACCTTATGAATATTCGACTAATACAGTTATCTTGTATCATTTTTCCCCTATGCATGCCATTTTCATGAAATATCTTTTATTATTGTTCTCGACTTTCCGTATGGAAGGCACGTATTTGCTTATTACTACTATTCTAACAAGAAAAATTCAATATCTTTCTTTGGAAGAAATCTTAACAAAAAAGTATGATTTAGAAGTTATAAGAATTTTCCATCCAATAAGCTAGTTATGAGATGAATTTTTTTCTCTGAACTTGTGCTTGTAATGCGTTATTGGACGAAATTTGTTTTTTCATGTTACAAATTTGGATGAGATTTCTTTAATATATTATTAAATGCAGGCATGGAATATTTCAATTGATGACTCAATGGACAGATGGTCCTGAATATGTAACACAGTGTCCAATCCTGTCAGGAGGAAAATACACTTACAGATTTAATGTAACTGCACAAGAAGGAACTCTCTGGTGGCATTCTCACTCTTCTTTCCTTCGTGCTTGGGTCTATGGAGCACTCATCATTCGTCCTCGCTTGGGAAAATCTTACCCTTTCCCTAAACCTTACAAAGAAGTCCCTATAGTATTTGGTAATTAATGAAGTACACCTGTCAAATAAGACTTAAAAAAAATCATTTAAAAATATAGGAGACATTTTATTGATGAGACGTGGTTGACTGTTCTTTCAGGTGAGTGGTGGGATGCTAATGTTATTGATATTGAGGAGGAAGCACAACAATTTGGTGGTGCTCCAAGGATATCAAACGCTTTCACAATTAATGGCTTGCCCGGAACTCTCTACAATTGCTCCCAAAATCGTATGAATGAATCATTTTCTTCATGAATCAAATAAACACTCGTATATATATACATACACACATATTGCTACTTTTCATATGTTACAGAGACATTCCAACTTGACGTCCAGCAAGGAAAGACCTACTTGTTGCGCATTGTCAATGCTGCACTCAATGAGCACCTCTTCTTCAAGATAGCGAGTCACACCTTCACCGTCGTCGCCGTGGACGCCGCGTATACGAATCCCTACCACACCGATATCATCGTGGTGGCGCCGGGACAAACCGTCGACGCCCTCCTCACCGCCAACCAAACGGTGGGTTCATATTTCATGGCTGCCACTCCTTACCAAACCCTAAACGGCACGAACAACAACTCGACCACGACAGGCGTTGTCGTTTACAACGGATCCAACACAACGACACCCTTAATGCCATCCCTACCGCCCAACAGCGACACCCAAACGGCCAATACATTCTACTCAGGGCCCACAGGGTTGGTCGGTGGGCCCCACTGGGTCCCAGTTCCTCAAGACGTGGACGAGCACATGTTCATTACCGTCGGAATCGGGCTCGACTTCTGTAATCTTCCGAACAACACGTGTTGGGGTCCGCTTAATAGTACGCGTTTGTCTGCGAGCATGAACAACGAATCGTTTGTATTACCTGAAGGACGAGGATTCTCGATGTTGGATGCGTTCTACAGAAACGCTAGTGTTGGAGTTTACACCAGAGATTTTCCAGATCAGCCTCCTCTGGTGTTTAACTACACTGATTCAAGCCTTAACAACAATCAAACTCTGGCCTTCGCACCGAAATCGACAAAGGTGAAGACGTTGAAGTTCAACTCCACGGTGCAGGTCGTGTTTCAGAACACGGCCATACTTGCTGCTGAGAACCATCCCATGCACATTCATGGATTCAATTTCCATGTTCTGGCTCAAGGGACTGGGAATTACAACGCCTCAAATGATGAATCCAAGTTCAATCTTAAAGATCCTCAGATTCGTAACACTGTTGCAGTTCCATTTGCAGGCTGGGCTGTCATCAGATTCCAAGCAAATAATCCAGGTTTGGTCCTCTCTTCATTTATCGATATTGCAGACAGCACAGTCTTATTTTATTTTTAATATAAATGAAGTAGTTTTTGGTTTCAAGTTGATTAATTAATTTCTTGTGTATGCGCAGGAATATGGTTCGTGCATTGTCACATTGACACTCACTTGACCTGGGGCCTATCCATGGCTTTTGAGGTTGAGAACGGACCAACACCAGAAACTACACTTCCTCCTCCACCAGCTGATCTTCCTACTCAGTGTTAAGTTCCATCAATTATAAACAAAATCATATCATTTTATAAAAATACCCATTTATATATCTTGGAGTTAAACAAATAAATGAAATAAAGATCTTTTTTTTTCTGCAACAGAAATAAAGATTTGTTTTAAATGCTCATTTGTATATTTCTATATATTGTGGGTTCCTAATTTAATTTGTTGATTTGGGAAGAGAGCGTAGCAATAAAAGGGTAAACATTTAGCCTCTATGCTTCACGCGTTACCTGACTTGTCCACAACATGGAAATTAATAATATCTGCTACTTTTTTGTGATCTGTATGCTAGCTATTATCCTCTTTGATTCTCAATTGATCAATTTACTTCGCTTTCATTAATAATTAACATTACCTTCATATTATATGCATGTGGCCTGGTCAAGAAGCCTAAGCTTTTATTTCCTACTTCCAAAATAATATATAGTAGCAGAAGGCTTTTTCTTTCAAACGAAAGCTTCTGTAATCACAAATATCATATTAGAAAATAAATCAGACCTTAAGAAATCGATATATTTTATTTAAAAAAAAACTACTATAGTTAGGACTAATATATTACTTTTTTGGCGCATCTTGAAATTTCTTCTATAATTTTCTCCCTTGTAAAGGTGAATATTCCAAAAACGTTCCGCGTGTGTGCGCGTGTGTGCGTTGATTATTATTTATTTATAAGATAGATTGGTAAAATACCTAATCACGAATGAAATGAAAACTCACAACATAATAGGCAATCATATAACTAATTAATGGCTTAGACACAATGGGCAAATATGCATATGTGTAAAGAATCTCATAATGATGGCAAATTCAAATCAGGAAACTCCAAACATGGTGGTGTAAAGTCTAGGCAGCCAAAGAAGAGTTGTCAAAGACCAATCATTCATCGAATTATGACACATATAATTAATGCAGCAAAGAAAGCAAATGTCAATTATGACAGTAAGTCAGGGAGACCGCCATGATGATGAAAATTAATTATATAGAAAGCGAAAGAGAAAAGTTATATGTTTTTTATTTATCTACTTCAGAATCAATATCATTCTTTCATAAATTATTTTAAAATTATGTATATTTTCTAAAATAAAAAATTTATCTACTTCAGAATCAATATCATTCTTTCATAAATTATTTTAAAATTACATATATTTTCTAAAAGAAAAAATACCACACAATTTTTTAAATAAAAAATTGTATAGTTTTTGGACTAAAATTGGTGCATTGGTCCTGAGATGAATCCAATAAGACCCAATTTAGAGGGAGATTTTAGACTACAACCCTTTAGGGCTTATTTGGTTGGGAAGAAGGGGAACTCCCCTCCCCTTCCTTTGTTTGGTAAGGTGGAGGGGAGGAGAAATTTTTAAAATTTTCCCTCCCCTCCCATCCAAAACCACCCCACCAAATTGGAGGGATTCATCCCTCCCCTTTCCTCCCCCTCCTCTCTCCTCCTCCTCCTTCTCCTCCCTTCCCCTTCATCCCTCCCCTCCCTTCCCTTCCCCTTCTCTCAAACCAAATGCAGCCTTAAGGCCAAACCATGAAAAGATTTAGTAAAACATCATGTTTCAACAAATCAACAGAGTGGCAACTAAGTTTTAAGGTCATTTTCTTCACTTCTCAAGAAACTTGGAGCATTCACCTCACCATGCTAACACCCTCAATGAAGCACACCCATGGCCCTCATATAGGCACGAATAGTTATTGCTCCTTTTGGTGACAACTCAAATTAAAAGGAACACATTGTTGCCTTTCCATATAAAAGGCAACGAGCGCATAACTAAGAGCTCTCATTTCAACCTACAATACTCAACAATCAAACTTGCTTTGAGTACAACCAATCGACCCAGTATCAACTTCAATTTCAACTCACGTGACCTTGATCTTTTAACTTTGCCCAAATGTCATCTCAATCTCTTAGTCTAACCTCCTAGGCTAGTTAGTTTGTTTTACCTAGTAATGCAATATTGTGTTCACACGCACTTCTATGACACTATTGAAAAAATTTATTTGAGCAAGGGATGAATCCATCACTATATAAAAACTAATTAGTTTCGTAGAGGAAAACAAGCTCGCTAATTTTAGCAACGAAATACATTCTCTTGCTAATTTAGTTAGGGAATCGATCCCTTGCTTTGCCAAATTTCTTGACCCCCTATTTTTCAAGTATTATGCCCCCTTCTTTGCATCTTGAATTGAAATGAATTTACAATTATTATATAAAAAATTAAATATCTATTATTTAACTATACATTTATATATGAAATACTTATTTCATTTTAAATTATAAGACACTTTTGAGAAAGTTTTGGCATATCAAAATATAAGATATTTTGAGAAGATTAAAATTTTATTAAATAGAGTTATTTTAATATAACCTTGTGTCTTTCTATAATTAATTTTCATCTCTTCTCTTTCCAATATAGTAAATTATGGGTATTTTTAAAAGTTTATATTTTTATTTTGAAAAGATAACATTATTAAGTGTATTTAATGATGTTTATTGGTATGTAAAATTTTATCTAGAAGTATTTTATAATTTGGGACAGAGGGAGTAATATATTATTAAAAATATGCATACACATACATACATACATACATACATACATATTCAATTATTAACATGATAAACTAATTTATATTTATACTACTCTTCGTATCATATTTTTCAAAAAAAATTATTTTTTGTTAGGAATGAACTTAAAATGAAACAAATATTAAATATTAAATAATTTTATTATAAATATTTTAATTAATTTTTAAATTTCATTTTTTTATTTTTTAAATAAAATTAATTAAATTTATAATTAAATGTCATTACTAAAAATTAATTTTTTGTAGTGATTAGTTAGGGATAGAATTCCTTACTAATTTCCTCATCACTATCACCTTTAATATTTCAATAATTATTTTATCTTTAAAGAGGTATAAAAATGCCATGCTACTTTTATATCTAATTATCTTATTTTAGAGAGTAATACAAAATCTTTAGCTAATTTCTCACTAATTTTTTCATTTCAGAGAGGTATAAATAGGTCTCACTACTTTTCTAGTCAATTATTTTAAAAAGGAATTGACAATCCCTTATTAAATTCTTTTATTAATTTGCATTTTTTTAGTAGTTGTATTCCTATCTCTAAACCAGCTTTAACATTAATCACTCTTTTGAGGATTTACTCCTTTGGCATACTTGGCAATTCTGAAGAGGCACAACACTTTGCACCCAAAACCAGAACTAACACCAACATATAGATTACAATTTTTTATTATTTTAGAAAAACACAAAAAATATTTAAAATAGAAGAGATGTTTAAATTTTTTAAAAAAATAGTATTAATTTGTTTATTACAAAAAATTGCATATGTTAAAAAAGAAAAATGTTATGATTTCACCCGAGCTAAGAAATATTGAATATCTGGCCAAATTTTGTAAAAAATTTGCAGTTGACTCCGCAATACGTTAGCTCCACTGCAATTACTTCTTCCTATACACAAATACACTAAAACAAATGAAGATAACGATCGATATACAAACAATTTTTCAAAATACTTTATGGTTGCTTATCAAACTTTAATTTGAACTGGTAAAAGTTGATGTTCCCCGGATCATTTTGAAACCAGGAAATTCATTACATGTGACTGTTATGGGCGCATATGTATAATTAAATTTGGTACTAAATTCGTAATATATCGCAGAGTCAGAAGCCCCCGAAATTCAAAGTACACGGTAATAGTATAATAACAATTATCTGACCAGCTTATTGCCATACTGTATATATTCTCCTTGGCCATGTCATTTTAATTTCTCCGTTATATTTACCAACTTTATAAACGATTTGATCGAAAGATGATATATGTTCATACTACGTAATTTGTCGAAAATTCAAATTCTTATCAAAGCCTATTGGATTATTATATTGAACATACGCAATCGCCTTATTAGTCTGGGATCTATATATCGACCAGATCACAGAGAGAGAGAGAGCTTCTTAAAATACAACGCTTCATATATATCACTGTCTCTTCTTCAGCATGAGAACTTCATTGTTATCTCTGGCATGGGCTCTTGCTCTTCTAGCTTCCTCTTCCTCTTTGGTTTCTGCTGATGTACTGGAATACACGTGGGAAGTAAGTGCTATACATTAAACTTCATCCTTTTGTCATCTCTTTCATGGATCATTTACTTAATTAAATATCTGCTTGCATGTGTTTGGATTAAGAGTTTGATTCAGGTTTACGGTAATGAGAATATCTAATAATCCCAGCTAATTTCTTTTATCCTTTATTCTGCTAAATCTAAATATATCTTTTACTTCACCAACTATATATGGTCGTATATAACCTAGCCGGTTACAGTGTCTCACATCTTAAATGGTTCATTACTGAGATTTGTGAGATCTAATAATTATTGCAGGTAGCGAACGTGACAATTCAGAGACTGTGCAATGAAACGGTGATAGCTGCAGTTAACGGAAGCTTGCCAGGACCAACAATTAACGTTCGAGAGGGCGACACTCTTGTCGTCCACGCCATCAATAATTCACCCTATAATCTCACTATTCATTGGTACATACATACATACATATGTTTCTGCAGGCTAGAGAAAAATAAAATTTGTATGCTTGACTATGTCAACCTTACCTCTCACGATCTCTCCCTGGTCAATATAATGAATGGATCTGATGCTTAACTAGGAAGTTACATTAGAGAAATAGAGACATCACATAGTTTGACCGTAAGAATTGACTAATATATATTGTTACCTTATAGTAACATTTTTCTTCTCTATATCATTTTCATGAAATGTCTTTTATAATTCGTCTAGACTTTCCCTAACGAACGCATCTATTTGTTTTTTCGGTTCTAACAAATTCAGAAATCAATATTTCCTCCACTTGGACCTCTCACGGATAATCCCAATTACAAAACATAAAATTAAAATAGACTGATTAAATTTATTATAGAGTTTCATATGATGAGGAATAAAATTTGAGTTTTCATGCTATATATAAATTTGGATGAGATTTCCTTAACATATTGTTAATTTAATGCAGGCATGGAATACTTCAATTGATGACTCAATGGGCAGATGGTCCTGAATATGTAACACAGTGTCCAATCTTATCAGGAGAAAGATACACATATAGATTTAATGTAACGGAGCAGGAAGGAACTCTTTGGTGGCATGCTCACTCTTCTTTCTTTCGTGCTTGGGTCTATGGAGCACTCATCATTCGCCCTCGCTTAGGAAACTCTTACCCTTTCCCTGCACCTTACCAAGAAGTCCCCATAGTATTTGGTGAGTAACAAATCAAATAATTTTTTTCCTAACCAACTAAACTTGGCGTGTGTAGTAAGAATAATTAACTCTCATCGCTTAAATCAGTTGGAAGTTCGATCTTAGTCTTTATATAATAACAACTTAGTTGGAAGAGGTCGTTTGCCCTTTGCCCAATATTTTGGAAGAGATAATCATTGCTGTTGATGGAACCTAATATTCCCTATGCTCGTACAAAACAAAAAAAATCATTCTAAAATCATTGCAGGTGAGTGGTGGAATGCTAATGTTATGGAAGTTGAGGAGGAAGCAATAGAATTTGGTGGTACTCCGACAATATCCGATGCCTTCACCATTAATGGCTTGCCCGGAGCTCTCTACAACTGCTCTCAAAATCGTAAGTCCAGCATATTATTCACCCTCATTAAACACTCGTGTGTGTGTGTGTTGCCTTTGTCTTACTGTGATATTAATTTTCGTTTAATACAGAGACTTTCCAACTTGAGGTTCAGCAAGCTGAGACCTACTTGTTGCGCATTATCAACGCTGCACTCAATGAACACCTCTTCTTCAGGATAGCGAGCCACACCTTCACTGTTGTCGCGGTCGACGCCGCGTACACGAATCCCTACGCCACCGATATCATCGTGATAGCGCCGGGCCAGACCGTCGACGCCCTCCTCATCGCCAACCAAACGGTGGGTTCATACTACATGGCTGCCTCTGCTTACAACACCCTAAACGCCTCGGTGGTCCCATTGGCCGACACGACAACCACAGGCATTGTCGTTTACAACGGATCCACCTCAACGACACCCCTAATGCCAACCTTACCTGCCCACAACGACACCCAAACGGCCAATAACTTCTACCTCAGCATCACAGGGTTAGTTGGTGGCCCCCACTGGGTCCCAGTTCCACAAGACGTGGACGAACACATGTTCATCACTATCGGAATCGGGCTCGATTTCTGTACTCTACAAAATGCGACATGTGAGGGTCCCAATGGTAATCGCTTGTCTGCGAGCATGAACAACGAATCGTTTGTGTTTCCCAGAGGACGAGGATTCTCGATGTTGGATGCGTTCTACAGAAACTCTACTAGTGGAGTTTACACCAGAGATTTTCCAGATGAGCCTCCTCTGGTGTTTAACTACACCGACCCAAGCATTAACAACAATATGACTCTGGCTTTCGCACCGAAATCGACGAAGGTGAAGACGTTGAAGTTCAACTCCACGGTTCAGGTCGTGTTTCAGAACACGGCCATACTTGCTGCTGAGAACCATCCTATGCACATTCATGGATTCAATTTCCATGTTCTGGCTCAAGGGACAGGGAATTACAACGCCTCAAATGATGAGTCCAAGTTCAATCTTAACGATCCTCAGATTCGTAACACTGTTGCTGTTCCATTCGGAGGCTGGTCCGTCATCAGATTCCAAGCGAATAATCCAGGTTCGATCATATCTCTTCCCTTAACTAATTATGTTGACCTGGTTTACTGTGATTTTTTAATTAAAAGTATTTCAAGTTGGTTAATTAATTTCTTGTTTATTATATTGTATATGCAGGAATATGGTTGGTGCATTGTCATCTTGAAAATCACGTGACTTGGGGACTTACGATGGCTTTTGAGGTTGAGAATGGACCAACAACAGAAACCACACTTCCTGCTCCTCCAGCTGATCTTCCTACTCGGTGCTGAGTCCATCAATTATATACAAAATCATTTTAATCTATGTTAGAGTTTGAGAAAAATAAATAATGAAGATTGTTTTGTGTATTCATTTGTATACTTGTAATTGTAATGTGGATTCTTAGTTTAATTTGTTTGATTGGGAAGAGGGATGATAATGCAGTAATGAAGGGATGACATTGGCCTCTCCTAATTTTTCAACCATATTACTTGACCGGTTCACAATGTTGAAATTAATAATATATCTTTGTTTTAGTCAAAGAAATTAATAATATCAACTTCATATTTTCTTTACCCATTACGGGCTATCTACTATCTTGTCTGATTCTCAATTAATCAATTTATTTTGTTTTCATTAATAACTTACATTATCTTTAAATTATGTGTGGATCTAGAAGCCTAAGCTTCTATTTATTTTCTCTTGTTTAAATAATAGTAGCAGAAGACTTTCCGTTTTGTTATACAAACTGTTCTTTCAAACGAGAGCTTTTATGATAGGCTAATAGCAACTATTTTATTAGAAAATAAAGTCAACCTTTAGAAATTAAATCGGTACGTTTAACCTTTTTTTTTTTTTTAAATACGGGTCAGCTGGACTAACATACATACTTACATATAACTTTTGGTGTATCTTAAACTTTTTACTATAATTTTTTCACTCGAAGAGTTTCACGTTGGATGGTGTGTGTGTGTGTGTGTGTGTTAACTATTTATAGATCATAATATAAGATGGCTCTTTTGAAAAAAATACCTGATTATGATGAAGATTTACAACATAATACCCGATTATATATACAAATATATATAGTTAGAGGCTGAGACCTAATGGGCAAATGGAAATTAATCGATGTGTGTAAAGAACCATAAAGTTTGCAAATTCAAATCAGGGAACTTTTCGAACATGGTGGTGTGAAGTCTAGAGACAAACAAACAAGAGTTGTCAAAGACCGATTCATCGAATTTTAACGCATGCTATTGTAGTAAAGAATAAAATGTTAATTATGGCAGTAATTATAAGTTTGTGAGAGTCAGACCGACCTGATCATGGAATTAATTATGGTTCGTTGAAAATGCAAAAGCGCTATTTTGGTATACGTATGCTATGCACTTCCTCACTCATAAATCTCTCTCTCTCTCTCTCTCTCTCTCTCTCTCTCTCTCTCTCTCTCTCTCTCTCTCTCTCTCTTTGTTTGCTTTTTCCCCCATTTCAATTTCAAACTTCAAGTTCCTGGACTTTGTTCTATCCATTGCTAAGTTGCTATCACTCCTAAATTATCATGTCCTGGGGACTTGCCAGATTAATGTCTGCTTTTATGTTCGAAGAATATTTATAAAAATACTTATAAATCGTCAACTAATAAAATCCTCACATTAGCAGAAAAATTTAAAACTTTATAGGTTATGGATTAAATTCTAACCAACTAGATTAACCTTTGTTAAAATTTTTTTAATCATAATTATTTTTCAATTTCAGCTTGATGGATTTGATGCTTATCATATGCTTGGTGTGGGATTTTTCTCTGCTTTCTTTTTTCATTTGTAATCTTCTTCGTTATTTAATTTTCTTCCTTCCGTACGTAAGCATGATCGCGCGTTTGAATTTTTGTATGCAGTATTTTCTGAATTTTCTCGTCTTTGATTGTTGTTATTTTATTGCACCAAAAGAAGCATACGGTCATGCTGTAAATAGTAATCAATTGTTTTTTATTTTTTTAAATTATAATCTTCTGACCAGAGTAATGTTGCGTATAATATGCACTCACCTTCCCTTGATATATTTCTTTCCTATATTTCTCATTTATAATGACCAGAATCGAGTCCAATTTCCACAATTTTTGTTTATATATAGGAAAAAAATTATATTTAATGTGTTTGTTTTCAACCAAATTAAAACATATGAATTCTATATATATTATTTATGTTGCAACAAACTCTTGTAATTAATATTATCAAAACATTAAAATTCACTTATTTTGATTTGATTGGATAAAAATATACTCCCTCTCTTAAAAAATATAAGACATTTTTGAAAGGTTAAATATTAAAAAATATAAAGTATTTTTAATCTTTCAAGATATAATTATTGTCTTTTTTAAAAAAAAGTGCCATATTAAATAAATTACTTTATATTTATTTTAAGATGAAACACCTTATTAAATAGGGAAAAATTTAAAAAGATGAGATTAATTTAAAGACAAATAACTACTTATTAAATAGGAGTATTGAATATAATCTGTTTATGTATTATGTACGTTTTGTGTGAATGTGTGTATCCAATCCATCCTAGAAACATGTCATGGCCTCAGTGAATTCCTAGAATTTAACTCGCCTAAACTTTTAAATACAAAAAAAAGTACTACTTAAAATTATCCAAAAAAAAAATGAACTACTTAAATTGAATCGATTATAGGTTGAATAAATATTTTGAAGTCACTTCCCTTAAAATAAAAGAAAATAGAAGTGAGATTCATTTTATTCGGAACCCACATCTCTTTATTCCTCTAAAATAGCAGTGACCTTTAAAATGGATCCTTGCATTTTAGGCATCAAAGGTCTGAATTATTTTGGTGATAAGTCAATGGTCTAAATTTTGCTTATAAATAGTAATGTCTTTGAAGTGAAAAAAAAAAAAGTCGTTGTACAAAAAAAAAGTATTTTTGTCATTTACTTTTCATTAAACAAGTAATTTTCATCTAAAATTAAAATTTAATTTACAAGAGCTTAAGATGTTGAGGCGCTTCAAGATGCTTGATGCTAATAAGAATTGTTCCATGGTTCTTGTGGCTCGTGGGGGGAATTGGTAGCAACTGAGACCATGAGGAATATGGTATTGCAAGGATAGCTCTTTGAGCCACCATCACCTCTAGTTACTATGTTGGATGAGGGATCTATAGGATAGAAGCATTGAGGCAAAGTTGAAAGAAGGTACTTATTCGATCAATAACAAGGTTAGGAAATAGCTGAGTTTGGACGAATATGCAACAGATTTCTTGAGCAACCCTGCTCTTAAATTTCAAGAAACCATTTTCCATAACCTGAACTCATGCGGCCCCACTGTTGCATCAAAATGCAGTTGTTAGTTGTATCATAGTTAGTTAGGATTTGTTTATGTAATATGTATTGGTTAAGGTTCAGATTGCTTTTGTATTCTAAACTTTAGTTGCTTGGCCTATATATATTCAAAGGGCCTGATTGTTGTACTCAGTAATTCATATTCAATAAGAAAGTTGTATTTTATTCTAGGCTCATTGAGTGGTTGTTGACATAATACAAATTGTATTTCTTTAGGTCCAACTTCATTGAAGTCCAAATTCTTGTTTTTCTTGTTGGATTCTAAGGGCTGCAGTTACTATTATCGTCTTGTTAGGCCTTTCAAGAATCCATCGGAAGGATTGTTTAGTTGCCACAAATACGACACAATTTTGATTTCTAAATTAGTCTTCTTGCAATACGAGGTGACGACACCTAGTCTTCAAAATGTTTGTTTCTTGACTCAATTCTTTCCTTTTTGATTCAATCATCTTTCATCCTCATCAACAATGTCATCATCCTTACAAAATAACAAGTCCCATAGCGCAAGAAAATAATGGACTAATTATTATTGAATAAAGATCTAAATTGCAACAATTCAATTTCGCTGAACCTAGATTCCACTCAGCCACAAGAAGAAAATTAAAATTAATTAAAATATCTTATGATAGGAGTAGATAGAGAGACATTATCACAAGCAATGGCAGAGCCACATTGAGATAAGGTGGTGCAAATGACCCCCTCACTTTGGGGAAAATAATAAGTGGAGTATGTAAAAATTTACAACTTTGCATCCCCTACTCTTAATATTTTGCACCCTCTAAATTAAATAAAAAATATTTAAACTCAAACATTTCATTACATATATACTATTTTAATGATATAGATAAGATATGAACAGCAAAATCATATTAATCTATTCAATATAATTTTTTTAAAATGAAAAATGATGGTAAAAATATTTATGTTATTATAATTTTTGTTCTAGTATAATTATTATTTTTTAAAAGATATTAATTTTTTATTAAATTATTTTGCACTCCCTAACTTGGGGTCCTGGCTCCACCGTTGATCACAAGAGTAGTGAGAAATCACACTCATTACATCAAACACCCGTTTGCTTTCTACTTCCATGTGTTCTTACTCATCCTCTTACTCTTTTCCAACAACTTTTGCCACATTGAATGAAGTGATTCTACATTATTTGGTATTGAATTAAGCTTTTTGAACACAATAACACTTACTTCACTTTTAAGTACCATTCTTACAGTTCAATAAACACACTAAATAAAAAAAATTAAAATAGCAACTTTGAAAGCAAGACAATGCATATTTTTATGTTAAAGTAACCTTTCAAACAACATGAGTGGCTTATTGAGCAAGCACTTCCTCCATCTATAAATAAGATATTTAGACAAGTCATTTGTTCATAAAGTGAAAAAGAGAGAAATGTCATAAAGTAGTGTAGAAAAGAGAGAGTGAAAAAGTTATTTAGAATGTATTGTATTATAAATGTGTAATATTTTCTTCTTTCAAGTCTTTCTTTTCATTATTTGCAAGTATTTTGATTGTTTTTTGCTCATAAATCTAACACCCTCATAGTTTTAATATTTGGTATTTGTATTTATGGATTCATTATGGTGGATTACTTTATATAATTATGACACTACTCAATTTCATTAGAAAGTTCATTATGTGGAAATTAGGAGTTCAAAGGCGTACTTGTTAGTGCACTAGGTAATACCTCTGTACAGATGACTAAGCTACTCAAACTCTACCTCTAGTTCACAGCAAATACACCATTAAGAGGAAAAGGAGTAGAGAATGAATTATTCACCGAGAATAATCTTATGGAGTCAATTGTCCAGATTAACTATATCCTCCAACACTATATAACTTCCACCCACATATATAGGTAGTTTTCAAACATGCGTATCTTGAAAATTGTTCACACACATAAAAATAGGAATATTACACTCAAGGATCCAAATATCTTATTAATACTTAGGTGAGCCACATTCAACAATGTGGGCTTAGATTTAGGCTAAAACCAGATCTACCAAGGGTAAACTTACTAAATCCAACTTCTCTACTCACACTTGGTAGATTGGATATTATTAATCCCATCTCTTTCTCTTCCTTCTTTT